AGAAAATATTTTCTTAGATGACAGTTAAAAAGCTAATATCCTTAATATAAAAAAGCTTTAAAAGTTGATAGGAAAATTATTATAAATAAATAGAAAAATAGATAAAGGATATTGACTGACTAATTTACTGAAGGGGAAATACAAGTGGCCAATAAATGTAAAAAGGGATTACTCCATAGTCAAGCTAATGCAAATTAAACCAAAAATGATATTTAATATTTCATCTATAAGAATTGCAAATTTTATATGGACAGGTGAGGACTTAGAAAAAGTTTTAGATGGTAATCTCTTGGTAAATGGACATACTGAGACGTTATTAAAATATATTGAAATAAATAAAACAACAAAAATGAGATGTTGGAGAGTACGTTTGATCCTTTTCTTCGTAAAACTGAATGACAGATTTAGTAGATATTGTACTAGTTAGAGTAGGTTAACTACTATAAAAATAGACTCAAATATAAAACAACTCAAAGATTATTGCTTGCTAAATTGAGGGATAGGGTGGGAGATTTTATGGACTAGTCTTGAAAGTAGCACATAATCAGTACTACTCACATTTAATTGGCTGGAATTAGATATAGGTAATAGAGAGAGAGATGGTAGATAATAGAAAATAGATGATAGATAATAGATGATAGATGATAGATTGATCAAACTAAATGTTTGCAGCTATACCACATAGATTCAGTATAAACATGATTTTTATTTCTAGCATACGTTATAAGAAACTCTTAATAAGGGTGATCACTTTAGAACCAAATAAAGAAGAGTGAGGCTTTCATTTTATTTTATACTTCTCTTTCTGTACATTTCCTAACCTTATACATACATAATCTTTATTTCCCCAAAATAGTGGCTACAGAATTTATTTAAATAAGGAGACTAGGCCCCATTTTTCTTCTTTGTTTTTCTATGTACTTAAATCATATAGATACATTTATATAACTAGTAAATGTAAGTATATAACAAATAAGTATAATAATTACTAAAAAAAAACACTAAAAAATCATACATAATTTCCCCCCCACTCCCAGCAATTTGGTAAGCTATTCCACAGACGTAAAAGTGTCAGTAAATAAGGATATATGAACAAAGTTGTTTATTGCATCTTTATTGTAATGGAAAATACTGCAAACAATCTGAATATCTATGGTGAGACCTAAAAAAATTATGGCAATACGTATTATGGAATAGCAGTTTTCAAACTTTTTGGTCTCAGAACCCCTTTGCACTCTTAAAAATTATTAAGAACTTCAAAGAGCTTTTATTTATATGAGCTGAATCTATCAATAATTATTGCACTGGAATTTAAAACGAAATTTAAATTTATTACCATTTAAAAATAACAAATACACCACATGTTAACACAAATAACATATTTTATAAAAACTATATTTTCACAAAACAAAAAACATTTAGTAAGAAGAGTGACATTGTTTTATATTTTACAAGTTTCTAATGGTTGGCTTAATAAAATACAACTTGATTCTTATACTGGCTTCTGCATTTTGTTGGTGTGTGTTGTATTGATTGACACATATTAAGGAAATCCAGCCTCACATAGATATTTAGTTGAAAAGGGAAGATTATTTTAATGAACTTTTTAGATAATTTTGATTTTTTAAATACTATCCAAAAACTTGACAAGTGGCTGTTTATTAAAGGTTAGTTGCAATGTAGAATTGAAACCACATCAATGAATTTTTTGCATGGTTAGATTAAAATTTTTATTCTGCGCTTTGAATAAGTCTTTTACCATTCATGATTTTGTAACATCATGCATTGATCTTTGGGAAAATATTGGTTCACTGAGTTCAGCAGGTCTCCCAAATGTTGACACAATTCATTATACAATATTAAAAAATCAAATTCATTAATATAACTACTGATGTTCATGGTAGTGGATGAAAGTTTTCCAAAACTGCTTGAAAGCTTGAATTTTATCATCGGCAGCAAATACTGTCAGTTGTTTTCCTGAAGTGACATGTTCATTCATTTGTCAAATCTTATTTCATTTTGTTGCAAATGCCAAAATCTAAGACATATGTATTCAAGGGTTGAGAATTAATGTAATTAAGTTTTACTGCTTCATCAAGGACATTCTTCAGTGAAACTGACATTTTTTTTTTTTAACTGGTAGTAATGAATAGTTTGACTACTAGTACAGTTTGGTGTGACTGCCTTGATTCATACTAAGCAGCTTAAATTTAGATCCAGTAACAACATTCACTTAGCTGTGTAACTTAGGGCCCATTTACTTAATTCATTTTTGCAGTGAGTTGGGGGGGGGGGGGAGCTGGTCTATACTGGAATCCAAACCCTTGATTATAATGCCACACTCTAATCAACTGAGCTAATCAACCAGGCCCACATTCACCTAATTCTACCAAGCCTTAGTTTCCTCATCTGCAAAATGGTGGTAAAGAACTTTCTTGCCCTCATAGATTTTCTGCAACAAATGCATGAAGGAAAGTGTTTAAATGCTATCCACAATGCCTTGACCCAATTTCAGTGCTTGATGTGTAGTAGATAGATTTTAAATACAGACTAAAGTAGTAATAAGAGCAGCACTTAGATGAACAGAGATTCTGACTATTGTTACAACCCTCTGTGAGAGTTGGCTGTCACAATTAGAAATAAAAACATAGTTTTGTGATGTCCTTACTTTGTCTTTTTATCTGGGAAGACATCCAGTTGCATCACAATGACTTGGCTATCTGGGTCTTGGTTTCTCAACTTCCAGAATGAGAATGTCCTTTTAGCTCAGCCATAAATAGGCAAATCCAAGGTGACCTAGACTATAGGAATAAGCTAATTACTCAAACATATTTTGGGTTTCAGCTGTTTATGAGAACTGATTGATACATATATGCCCCCAGCTATTCTCAGGTAGAATGTTGAAGGGACTGTGTAGTATTAGGAAACATTTACTGAGCACTCTAAGGTCCTTTGAGGAAAACACATTGTTTAGATTCTTATACTTGACCATGAATCGATGTTTAAAATTTCAGTGATAATACATGGTAAAATAATACACAAAAGTTCAGAGTGAATAGTTATTTTTGAATGATGATATAACAGCTGATTTTTATTTTCTTTGTGTGCATATTGTTTAGGTTTTTCTACCATCAGCATTTTCTGTTTACTGTTTAAAAGTTATTTAAACTTTTTTTAAAAAGGAAAAAATCACTGAGCTTGGTTTATGGCATTTTTATTGCAATTTTGCACAGTATTCAATATTTCAAAGCATTAGTTAGAATTCGAAAAGAACAGTACATTGACCTTGGCAAAGAGAAAATACTTCACTGTGGTTTTCACCATTCATCCACATCATTTGGCAAAGAAGGATTGCTTACCCAAAAGCTGTCATTTTAATGACACAGTATAAGTATTATACCAGGCAGTAAAACACTGTGATTAAACATATGCTAAAGCTCTGCTACCCTTTGGGTATTTGCTCTTGTTTTAACAAAGAGCACTCAAATCAGTCAGGAAGCAGCCATCAGTGCAGCACAAAGTCTGTAAGTCTTGTCTGGACATCACTGAATGCTTCTTTGGCTTCCAAAGTCCTTTGGTGGGCATTTGTCCACTCTGAAGATGTTCCTCCCCTGAGAAATCCACCTTCGGAAGGATTTGTTCTGTGTTTTCCTCAGAAACCTTATGTTGATTTGGGAGCTGGAAGTAGTTTTCTCTCTCACCTGTATGGAAAAGAAAAAACAGTACTTCCTTAGAGAACCCCAGCAAAGAAGGCAACAACCACATTCTGCTCTTAGGGGAATGAATTGGATTTCTGAAATGAAATTGAATCCTATACATAATGTTTTTAAATTTTTTTTTTGACATTGAACTTTCTTTTTTATTTTCTTAAATTTTTGGCCATAAACAAGTCTTAATACATTTAAAAAGACTAAGATCATAGAAAAATTGTTCTCTGATCATAATAACAGAAGGAAATTTAGAAAATTCACAAATGTGTGGAAATTAACACTCTCCTAAATAAACAATGTGTAAAAAGAAAAATCACAGGGAAATTATAGAGTACTTTTGAGATAAAAATAGATGTACTTTTTCTGGTCTCCACTGGTGACTCTCCTTGTGTCAATGCAGTCTAGTGTATGGTGGGCCACCTGCACGGTAGCTGTGGATACTGCTATGGCATCAATCCACTTTTGTGGCAGCCGTGGCTATGGCGGGCCACTTTTGTGGAAGTGGTGTTTTCAGTGTGCTCCTTGTCTGGTTGTCGGCAGGTGGCAGCCCTTGGCTCCTGCCTCAGGACCTGTGTGTACTCTGTTGCTTCCATAATGATTTTTTACATGTTGGTCTGGTTTCAGAGAGATTAGACATTTGGGGGAGAGCTCAATTATCTCCACTGTCCTCATTTTGCAGGGGAGGAAACTTGAGTGCATAGAGAAGGAGTGACATACCCAGTGTCACGCCAAAAGTTTGAGCCAAGTCAGGGCTTGACTTCTGCTGGATACCTCTGCCTGATGACCAGCAGCTTCCAAAGGTATTAGTTATGTGCTATAAACAAAAACCACATAAACAAAAAATAACCCTGTGTATGCCCTGCAAAGCTGATCAGTAAGGAAGGAAGGGGAATTTAAACCTCTACATCTGAAAATTAAAAGTGGGCCCCACCGTTTATGAGTGTTGTTCCCAAGGTCTACATATAAGTCTTTCTCACTTTAATTAAGTTCAAATTTACTTATCAGTGCCTTAGCACACTAGCAAGCACAAAGAAAAATTAGATGAATGAATTCTGGTTGGTAAACCAGTAATTGACCAGATACATAATGTATAGGAAAACACTCTGAAAACCTGTGGAATGTTTAATAAACAGTATTATCATTTCAGTGATGTCAAAAAGAGATAGCCTTATACAGACATCCATTCCACTGCCCCATATGTTTCAGAGATATTCCAGATGAATTTTTTTTCTAGTATATTTTGATTTGCTATTTCAGAGACTGATATAAATCCTGGTAAATTATCCTTACTCTCCTAAGATTAAAAATGCTTATTATTTCTGTTAACATTTAGTAATGTGAACCTATTAAAGTGGTAATGATAGTGGTAAGTTCATGATTTTTCAAGACATTAGCCCACCAAAATATGAAGACTGTGGGCCATTTTCTAAAATATTTTGTTTACCAAGGTCGATTTAAACCAGATTGAAACCTTTACAAGCATATATGTGGTTGCAACATTTATTATGTAATCATTTTTCTTTTTTTAACTTTTTATTATAAAAATAGCAAATACAGCCAATCATTAAAATATAATCTGAAGCCAGACACAGAAAGACAAATACTGCATGATCTCACTCATATTGGAATCTGAAAAAGTCAAACTCATAAAATAGAAAAGAATGTTGGTTACCAGGAACTGGGAGAGGAGGGGTGTCTGGGAAGATGTTGGTTAAAGGATACAAAATTTCAGTTATACAGGAGGAATAAGTTCAAGAGATCTATTGTACAATATGGTGACTATAGTTAGTAAGAATATATTGTACTCTTGAAAATATTGGAGAGTAGATTTTAAGTGTCCTTACCACAAAAAATGATAAATACATGAGGTAATACATATGTTAATTAGCTTGATTTAGCTATTCCACAATGTACACAAATTTCAAAGCAACATGTTGTACACAATTGTGTCAATTTAATAAAATAAAATAATAAAAAATAAAATCTTAAATAGATTCTACCTCACACTTAGAAGGAATTTCAGTCAAACTTCTAAGATACTTGAATTGAAAAATAAAGAAATGCAGTGAAGTCAGTTGCCACACTATTTCTGAAACACATTAGGTTCATTTCCACCTTTGAAATTCTCATCAGATAATTCCTACTGCTAGACTCCCACCCTGCTTCACCCTCACTCCTCATGTCCCAAATCCTACATGTCCTTTAGGACCTCTGTCAAATACCACCACCTCCACGATGCTGTCATTACAACAGTTCACCACCTTCTCTTTCTCACCTGAGACTCGGTATAGAATAAGCAAAGACCTCAGCTCTTGAAGTCAGATAGACCTAGTTTGCTTCTTAGCCATACTGCTTACCAGCTGGTCTTACAGACTAGGTCTATCTGACTTCAAGAGCTCCTTGGTAAAACGGCAAATGGTGGTAATATTGTTTCTTTCACAGATTTCTCATAAGAAATCTGAATGAAATGTTGCATATGAAACTTCCTGCCATTAATAAGTGCTCAATAAAAATCAGATTCTTTCCTTCCAATCTTATTCTTGAATTCCAACTTATTATATGCCATAATTATCCATGTGTGGCAATCTTGCTACTCCAACATGCGCTCTTGAAATCCCCAGCTTCTCTGTAGCCTCCGTAGCACCAGCCATCGATGCGGAGCTCATTGAAGTAGTCATGAAATCACATGGTTTCAAGCAGGAGAATAAAGAAAAAGAGGTCCTTATTTTTTGAAAGGTAGCATGCTCACCTCTTTCCCAAGCCAAATTTAGTATATTTTGATAATTAATTACCTAAATTGATACAGAAATGGCTTAGGAGTACTAAACAGTTACTAAAATTACTGCTAAAAAAACAGTTTAGAAAATTAAAATGATGTAAAAAAAGTAAAGGAGACACTTGAGTTAACGTTACCTTGCTGAACTTGAGGGATCCCCTCCACGTGCCTTTTCCACCTGGAGCTAGCACAGATGTAGATGACTGTTCTTATGTACTCTAGCCCACAGAGCTTCACAGGCTTCTTGCTCCTCACTTCTGAGATGGCGAAGAAGATGGAGAACAGAAATAGAGTGAAAATGGAGCACTTCATTTTGCTGAGGACTGAATGAGAATCTGATATGGTGAATATTGCCAAATCAAGTTTGAAGTTACCCTTACCCTCTTGACCAATTTATACTAACTTTCCTGACATTTTATTGGTCATAACCTCATTTTTATAGTATTTGCTAAGCACATACACAGTGAAGTTTTGAAAATATGTTTTTATGATTATTGCCAGCTACTCAGTTACTTCTGGAAAATCACTTACCACTAACTATGAGACAGCAAATAGATGCTCTTAGTATTTGCTAAGCACATACACAGTGAAGTTTTGAAAATATGTTTTTATGATTATTGCCCGCTACTCAGTTACTTCTGGAAAATCACTTACCACTAACTATGAGACAGCAAATAGATGCTCTGTTGGAAGGCATCCTGGGAAACTCATGAACTTTGGAAGTAGCCAAGTATGTGTTTCAGTCTCAGCCTTGATGCTTACTGAGTGACACAGGGTAAGTTTTAAGCTCTCTGAACCACAGCAACCATATCTCTAGAATGGAGAAGCTTATCTCATAAGGGTTTTGTGAGTATTGAAAGCAACATATATGTCAAAGCAATGAAAGATCACACATTAGAATGTAGGTACTTGTGTCCTGGGTTTGAATCCTGGCTTCCCACTTACCCCATCTAGACTCTTAAGCAAGTTATTTAAGCATCCTTTTTTGTAAAATTGTGCTGTTATAGTAACTACCTCATAGAGCCAATGAGATAATGTGTGTCCCACTTTATACAATAAATACTCAATAATTGTTGGCTGCCTTCTTCCCTTCCCTCACCTAGAATAGACTAGGAAGAAAACTTATCTTCAAAATTCGGGAGAGTTTCTCTGATTAGACTATTCCTTTTTATCCTTTATCTATGACTAGGTATGCCTTTCTCAGCACACATTTCTATTATAATAGAAAACTGAATCCATAATCCCAAACAGCTAAATAATAAAATTTCTCTTTTTGTAAACCCTCTGAAAGCACTAGTGCTGGTGAAGCTCCTACCCTAAATTAAGAATTCTGGAGTTTGAGATCTTAAAGAATTGTTGAGTCACTTTTTATAGCAAGGTGAACAAATAATTGCTTAGTTGACTCTGTAGAATTTTTGTCTGTTATTCCTGGTTGGGAAAAAAAAAAAACACTTCAATGTGTGGCCAAGATCATATCGCCCATACTTGTGACATCACCATTCTGTAGAAAAGCTAAAAACAAAACAAAATAATCTACATTCTGATTGAAAGCATTTCTGACTTTGAAAAATAGACACACTTCAATGTGTGGCCAAGATCATATCGCCCATACTTGTGACATCACCATTCTGTAGAAAAGCCAAAAACAAAACAAAATAATCTACATTCTGATTGAAAGCATTTCTGACTTTGAAAAATAGACAAATTATTTCAAAGAATCTTGCTTTCTCCATCTCTCTCTGTGTGAAGAATAGATTAAGAGAAGCAAGACTTGAGGCAGAAAAAATAGAGAAAGGCTGCTGCACAATTTAGTTGATATGATAGTTGCAAATTATTTCAAAGAATCTTGCTTTCTCCATCTCTCTCTGTGTGAAGAATAGATTAAGAGAAGCAAGACTTGAGGCAGAAAAAATAGAGAAAGGCTGCTGCACAATTTAGTTGATATGATAGTTGCCTAAACTAAGGCCGTGTCAGAGAGGATAGGGCAAATTGGTATTCAAAAGATAGTAGGGCTTGCTACTAATTAGGTATGAGGGGCAACAGAGAGAGAGCAGTCGAAATGGTACCTAAATTTCTGGCTTGCACAACTGGGAGGTAGGGGTCATTTGCTAAGAAAGGAACCAAAGAAGCAGAAATTGTCTTATTATCAGACAAAGCTACTTCATCTTTTGATGGATCAAAATTGCAGGTACATCTGTGTCACCAAGCTTAGCACACCCACAACATCACCAAGCTTAACACACCCATGATATTATTCCCTTTCTTGGAGATTAATAATGCATATTAATATAGTAAGGGCTCAGAGAAGACTTATAGTTAGGACATTTCTTTAACTTTGTTTAATTCAGTGTTTCCTCAATTTATTGGATCCTAGAAACTCTTTCAGCGTGTAATCAACTGTTATCTGGGATAGTCAGGGATTTCTGAAAGACATATTTCTAGTTCTTCTCTGTCCAGGCACATGGTAAGATTTTATTTCTCTGCTCTTTAAGGTTGGGCATGGCCATATGACCTATTTTGGCAAATACAGTGTGAGTGGAAGTGACATATGTCACTTCTATCTAGAATTTAAGGATTGGCACATGATTCTCCAGTACTCCCTCTCCCCTACCTTGGTGACTATTCCTGATGGTCGGAACCTAGTCACTGAGACAGAGCACTATGGACCAGAGCCGCCTACTAACCTGTAATGAACATGTAAAGTGAATGAAAAGAGACCTTTATCATTTAAAGCCAATGAGATTTAGGGTTTGTTATAACAACATAAACTGGGTTATCCTGACTATATAATTATCTTAAAGTTATTTACATGTTACAGATGTAGAGAATGTTTATAATGATCCAAGTTTTTAGATCAAAGCAAAGTAAAATCAGTTATTTGGCATTAACAATTAGAATTAATTACCACATGCTCAATATGATTAATTATATGAAAATCCACAGTTGTGACCCCAGAATCCAAATGAACATCATGCCAATGGATTCAGTAAACCATTTCACTGTATACCATTTATCAACAAACTATGGCCACAATATGTCTAACAGATGATGTTTGGGGCAGGTTGACCTGAGTTGTAGGTACGGTCTGTGGCATCAGACTGGGAAATCAGATCTTCATTCTATCATTTAATATCTATGTAAACATAGGACATATTTAATGTCTCTAAATCTCAGTTTCTTTGTTGGTAAAATAAAGATAATAATACTTACTTCATTAGAATATTTATAAGAATTAAATTTTGCAAAGAGTGCTGATCAGAGTCTCTAGCCCAAAGGGAACTTTCAATAGATTGATCATTAGTGGTAATTATAATGGTAATAAGTACACCAATCAGTGTCTTGTGGCCTGGGTGTTAGAATGCTAGAGTTTTAGTATTACAACTCTAGTTTCTAGCTAAGAGACCCTGAGAAAGTATTTAATCTATAATTTGACTTTCTAATTTGTTACATTGAAAAATATCGCAAGATCAATTGATTTGATGTTCATGATAGCACTGATAAACTATGAACACATTATACATAATTATTTTATAATGATGATTATGATATCACTAAATGTAAACCCATTAGTAAACATTATTTTTATTATTTTCTAATGCAAAGTTGGTATCTATCTGCTCATTCTTGGCTAATATTAATTCTTAAAGCTTCTAGAGGGAGTTTTCATCATGGAACAACTATTCATTCTCTATTGCTGGGAGTCATTCACAACTCATTCTCTCTCACTCTCCATTGACTAAAACCTTCTCCCTATGCAAACATCTACTAAATTACCAAGTCTCATCTGTTCTACCTTCTAAGTTTCTCTGTGATTTATCACTGCTCTCTATCTCCTCTACTGTGACCTCAATTTTCATTTGGATTACTGCAATGGCCTCTCCATTGGCCTGTCATCAATCCATTTTGCATACTGCTGCCTAAATGATCTTTTTAAAGCATGGGATAATTATCTGCCTTCAACACTCTCCAATAGTCTCCCAACTCCCTTAAGAAAAAGTCCAAATTCCTTGGCCTACAAGACATTTCATGATCTGACTTCTCTCTGTTTGTTCAGATCCAGCTTTTTAGACACCCTCAAACTCTAAATGGTTCAGCTATACCAAACACCTTACAAATTTTGAAATCCCAAATTCTCTTTCTCTCCAGGTCTTTACAAATGCTGTTTCCTTCATCTGAATCTCCTTTTCTTCCACTCTTTAAATCTGGTTAACTCTACAAATATATCTGGAATGGATACTGAAATAACTTTCATCTAGATAATTTTAGTGATTTCTTACATGTCCTAACAGTAAGAATTGAAATGAGTAATTGACATACAACTCAATAGCAAAACAAATAACCCAATTAAAAAATGAAGAGCTGGCCGGATAGCTCAGTTGGTTAGAGCACAGCCTTGTAACACCAAGGTCAAGGGTTCAAATCCCCACAGTGGACAGCTGCCAAAAAAAAAAAAAAAAAAAAGTAAAAAATGAGCAAAGGACCTAAATAGACATTTGTCTAATTAAGAAATACAATGGCCAACAGGCATATGAAAAGGTGCTCAACATCACTAATCATCAGGAAAATGCAAATAAAACCATAATGAGATATCAACTCATGTGTTAGAATGGTTATTATCAAGAAGACAAGAGATAGGTGTTGGCAAGAATGTGGAGAAAAGGGTATCCTTGTATCCTGTTGGCGGAAATGTAAATTGGAACGGCTATTATAGAAAACAGTATAGAGGTTTCTCAAAAAATTAAAATAGAACTACCAGCAATTCCATTCCTGGGTATACATCCAAAAGAAATGAAGTCAGTATGTTAAAGAGATATCAGCTCTACCATATTCATTGCAGTATCATTCACAATATCCAAGATATGAAATCAACCTGAGTCCCTTGATAAATCAATGGATAAAGAAACACACACACACACACACACACACACACATAATGGTAACTAAGTGTGATGATAGATGTGTTAATTGTAGTAATCATTTCTCAACGTAATTGTATATCAAATCGTCACATTGTATACCTTAAATATATTCAGTTTTGCCAATTATAAATCAATAAAGCTGAGAGCAAACCCAAAACAAACTCAAAATAAAATAAAATGAGGAACCAAAATTTTAAAAAATATATCTTAGAAAATAATTTGTATTTAAAGCTTTATTTTGTATGAACAAAACAGCCATTTTCTTTTTATGGTTTTGTTGTCATTTTGGGCTTTTAGAAAAAAACAATAAATAATCCACATATGTGTAATAATTTAGAAAATTCAATAAAATCATTACCAGTGAGTTCTGATGTAAGAAACCAAAACATCCCG